GATTGGAACCCAACGCCTTGTACCCGAATATAATAAAGGTGACGACCAGCAGCAGTTCTCTTCATGTAGTAGGTTCGTTCATTTGTTTCATGATAATTAGGAAAAATTTTGTCATTGTTCTTTGTCTAATCCTCTCCATGGTTGGTTTCTCATCTAATATGTTTAATTTATCAGATTTCCACAATGTATCTTCTCGAAGATTTTGTTGGTCTACTAAGAAATTTGGTTTCTCTTTGTAGGGATTTTGCTTTCATCTTTCACGTTAATGGTAATTACGCCTTATTTCCATTTGAAACTTTGCTTCAGATCATGTTATTGGTTGATCATTCTAGAACTAAAAAGTGAAAAGTTTGTCAAATGTCCCCTATAAAAATAACTTTCTCATCTCATTTATAAAATTTGTCCATATCTATAAGTTTGCAACTCAAATCTCTGATACCTATGTTATGCACGTCCAACCCATGTTCTAATTATTATGTATTTCTTCTTTTATCTATCTACACTTCACAACTATAATTAAACTAACAATTTCAACTATTCTAGTTTTTCTTGTGTTGTGGAATGACCAAGTTTAATATATGGCTTTAACAATAGATGAAGTAGAACATGCTGCATTGTTGCTTTAAAATTATAGGATAATTGTTGGAAATTATATGGCTTGAACAATAGTTACATAATATAAAGTTACTTTTTATGCTCGAGTAGTGATTGATATTCGGTTCTTTTTTATAGGCTTTAGGTGCATTTAATCTACATTACAAATTGTTGCAGTGGTTATAGGATTAGGTTTCATCGAATGCTTAATCCCCAAATTTCTCTTTTAATTACATGTTTCTATTACCACAATTCAATTTCAAATACTCATTAAAAAAATAGGAAATAAGATTATGTTTATCCCATCTGCAATCTCTTCAAAAGTATCAGTTTTCTATTACAAGATGTAAGTTTTCTGGGAGTAGTTATTTGTTCTTGATTCAGCATGGTCAAAATCTTTAACATTTCAATTGAAATTTTCTGTATCACTATAAATTATTTGAGATGAGATCTCTAATGATACATTATGGCATTGATGATTGTAGGAAAGGTGATTATTATCAATATCTTACTAAGTTCAAAACAGATCGAGAAAGAAAGGAGATAGTTGACCAGTCATTGAAGAGATATGAGGCATGTTTATTTCTACAACTTTCATTTACATAAACTAATTGATTTGATTTTTACTCGTCAACTATATTGCTTGATGTGTCCTTTGCCGAATTCATGATAGACTGCTTCAAGCATTGCAAATGTAAAACTACCATCAACTCATGTAATCCATCTTGGCCATGCTTCCCACTTTTTTGTCTTAAACTATGAGATTATGAATTCTCCATAAAGGTAAAAGTAGTTTTTTCTTGAATTAATTCTGTATCAATGACTAGGACTTGCCACTTGGCTAAGGCTAGTATAGATCTAGTTTTTGTGCTTATTGAAAACGCATGGTGTACCTTACATCAGAAATGATAGACACCTAAGAATGCCATACTTTTTTGTACCAACAACACCTCCTTTGTAGTTTTACATATCAACTACCCAGTAACGTGGCCTATTTACCCATATCCTCAGCTTTATATTTATCAAATGTAGGAATTATGCTCCCTTTTAGATGAAATATGTTAATTTCATGCTCAAATAATGCATAGACGTACTCTGGAATACTTTTATGTAAGTGAATAGAACTACAAAGGTGAAAAATATAAACAAGTCGCACTAGCCCCTGAGGTAAAATGAGATAGCCACCTCACCTCGAAGTTTTATGGAATTAGTCTTCCAACTATATTAGAGTCAATTAACTTCGTCGCTAGGTTGGTGAACATTTTGATTTGTTTACAAATTGTTGAAGTATGAATTCTCAAGTCTTAACATTTTGATTTGTCATGCATATAGTATAAAATCTAGTTGGATAATTGTCTGGTTTAAAGTTTAGTTGGATAATTGTGTGGCTATCCTGTAGCAAAGATAGCCAATTAAGACTTAGTGTTTATATTTGTGTCATACATATAGTTTAAAATCTAGTTGGATAATTGTGTGGCTATCCTGTAGCAAAGATAGCCAATTAAGACTTAGTTTTTATATGTGTCACACATATAGTATAAAGTTTAGTTGGATCATTGTGTGATTTAAAGTTTAGTTGGATCATTGTGTGGCTATCCTGCAGCAAAGATAGCCAATAAGACTTGGTGTTTATATTTGTGTCATGCATATAGTTTAAAGTCTAGTTGGATAATTGTGTGGCTATCCTACAGCAAAGATAGCCAATTAAGACTTAGTTTTTATATTTGTATCATGCATAGAGTTTAAAGTCTAATTGGATAATTGTGTGACTATCCTGCAGCAAAGGTAGCCAATTAAGATTTGGATAAGTAGATTGTTTTTCCTTGTTATTGTTCAACATTTGTGTTGTTCATAAATTAGTTTTATTTGGGTAAAGTCTTTAGTATTTGGATAATCTAAAAAACCGTTAGGTATTGTCTCTTTGCTTCTTTGTTTTTGTAAAAGAAAGATTTTGTGTGAGTGATTTGAGGCAAAGAAAAAGATCTTAGGTGTTTATTGTGATTGTTAGCCCTCTGTTGAGGCATTAAATAAAGGCTATGAAAGTGTGTTAGTTTCTTACGTGAGGAGATTTGTTTGTTGTGTGTTGCCATGAATGAATTGTTTGCTTGTGTACCTACGAGTGTTGTTGTATGATTGTTTGCATTAGGTTCAACTCTATACATATTGCAATTGTTATATTGTGAGTTGGTTGTGTTCTGACTATTAAGAAAATTTGTTGGAGTGTTGGATGTGTTTCTGGATTATTGATAATTATTCTTGTCTCACAAAAGCATACTGAGTTCTTGTGAGAATGATTATTTTGTGACAACATGTTGACTAAGTGTCCATACCTTGGCTATGCATGGTCAGGAGTCGGTACGACTCGAAGGAGTAAGTCTTTAAGAAACATGAAAACAAACTAGTGAGTTGTGATATGAGGCTTGTGTTTGGCACGTAGGGTGCATGTATGGTCAAGAGTATGCATGAATAGTTCCTTTTCATTTAAAGCATGACGTTGACGATAAGCAGTGTTTTAAAAATCATTTGAGGCGTAAGCCTTGAGGCGAGGCTGACTTGAGGTGCCTCAAAGCTTACGCCCCTGACACATAAAATGAGGCTTAATTGATTACTTGCTTATCTATTCCTTTACTTATTACTTGCTTATTGGAATGTTTTACAGCGGTGGCAAGCAAGCAACTTATTTATTTATTTATTTTTGTTTTGTTGTAGCTTTTCTTTTTTTCCTATATGTGATGTCACTGCCTGCTAACCCAACCTTATTTCTACTGTTATATGGTTTTACAAAAATTTCAATGAATATTACACCAAATATTCTACAAATTTTCTAATTTGGTGAAGTATTGTTTTCCATTCTAACTTCTAATCAGAATAAAAATAATTGAGGTGTTCTTTCAAATTTTTCCTTTCTCCATATTAATCCTTTTTGTTTTTTTAATATTTTTCAGTATACTTTTTTACTTTCCTAAATTTTTAAAATTAATTTTTAGTTCTAATAAACAAAAATGATGTATTTCATACTTCTATATGAACACTGACATGTTAATAATACAATGTTCTACATTCCTGTGACTTTTATACTTTTTTCCTATTTGAAATTAGGCTTATGCCTCACACCGCCTCAAGGCTTACGTCTCGCCTCTTCGTGAGAAAAAGTCTCGAAGCCGCCTTAAGCTTTTTAAAACATTGATGAGATAAGCATGATGTGTTGTTTTTATGATAAGCATGTTGTTTGTGGGTGGGAGGGGTGGTGGAGCTATATCTTAACTTCTAATTTTGGACAGTATCATATACAAATGAAATGAAAAATCGATTGTCTTAACGTCGTTTTTCTCCATGGAAGAGGGGGAATAGGGATGGTGGTGTGGGAGAACAGTGGATTATTTTTCTCAATGCAATTAGGCATTTATCGCTCTAACAATTATGGTTGAAATACATACTTCAGAAGCAGTCATTAAACAAGGATTTATACTTCTCTCGATTATGTTTACATTGGTAATGACTATTTTGATCACATGATGACATCATTAAGAATGTGCTTGAACTCGATTTTAAGAGTAGTTTTTCCTATATTTTTTTTTTCAATAAGAAACAAGGGAGACTTTAATTCAAAGAGCCCGAAAAAAGGTGAAATACAGCCTAGTGGACCTCGGGACAAGGTGTTTTTGTTTTGAAGGAAGATTACATAAAAGACTTCCAATCTAATCCAATAGTACATGTCGAGTAATTACAAAAAATCTTGTTTGAGCACTCCAGTTCAAGGCCATAAACTATACAAGATCGAAAAAGTATTCAAAGTAGTTGAACTTATTTTGTATACTCTTTAGGTTTGATTTTGCTGCTGATTGAAGTTCATTCTTTTAGTTTGGCTCCCCTTCGTTGAGTTGTTTTTTTTTTTTTTTCATTCATCTCAATAGAAGCTCGACTTTTCATAATAAAAAAATACCCATTTACCATTTGTAATTGCTGAAAGTAAGGAAAGTTGCTCTGCTACCTTCATAATACCGTGAATTTCTTGAAATATTTTACACATTGCACCCAACTGCATAATTGACTCATGATCCTTTGTTCTATATTTTATGTTGGTATGATTATTCTGGTTATGGAAAATCAACTGGAAAGGTACGGTGTCGTTTCTCCATTCGTTCCAGTTTGTAACTTTATCTTGGTATTGTCTACCAAATATCTATTTATTTGGATGTTTCTTTCTAAGGAAGTAACAAGTAATGAGTTAATGTCATGATGTAGTTGAGGTTTGATATTTATAATTATATAGATTCATTTTTCATATTTTGGTGCTCGCTTATATTAGGACTATTAGCTAAGCTTACTTCTCATCCATGCTAAGCTTACTTCTCATCCATCTTTAATGCTTAATGGGAGTGTTGGTTTATTCCTCTAGTGAAGTGCATATAAAAATTTGTTTATGTTTCGACTCATAAGTACATCAATTTTAGTAAATAGTTAATACTTTGTGTGTTCACTGTCAAATATAATTTTTTGATTAGATTGTTTTCTTTCAACTACGATACGTTCTAAAGTTTGGACTAATAGGTTTGAGTATGTAGCTGAGCGTATAGCTGTTTTGTACATGAACTTCATGAAAATGAATTCATTCCCTTTGCTTATTTCAATTGGATAATTGTGTGGCTATTCTACAGCAAAGATAGTCAATTAAGACTTAGTATTTATATTTGTGTCATGCATGTAGTTTAAAATCTAGTTGGATAATTGTGTGGTTTAAAGTTTAGTCGGATAATTGTGTGGCTATCATGCAGCAAAGATAGCCAATTAAAACTTAATGTTTATATTTGTGTCATGCATATAATTTAAAATCTAATTGGATAATTGTGTGGCTATCCTGCAGTAAAGATAGCCAATTAAGACTTAGTGTTTATATGTGTCATGATGTAATGCATGTTGGAGTTAGAAAGAAAATGTGGGAGTTCATATTAATATTTTCTTAATTGTTCGTTTTATTTTATTGAAGGAGTAGCTTGTGGGAGCAATATTTTGAGAAAGAAAAATGTATAAAGGAAGAGTTTCGGCATATTTTCGACATGTACGAGGTTGATGTAATGTGAATATAGTTCGTTGGGCATTCTCTTATTGTAGTCATAGACTTATAGTACAGTATTTGTATAAAATATCCTAATGTACAAATTTGATCAGACTTTGATCTTATTATACGCAACTTGGTTACATTTTATAATTTATAGATATAGATAATTTTTTTGAAACATGTAATAATGTATTTCATGGCTGTTATGAAATTGTCGTATATAAACTTTTTTGACATTACAAATTTTTATTAAACTCAAATTGTAACAAAAAAAATTGTCACAATTAATCAATTGTCATATATAAAATTTCGTGAGAGTTAAAATTGTCAATATAAAGATTTTCATGACAGTTAAAACTACTGATATTTACCGTTAAAATATAACTATAAAAATTTTCGTGACAATTATAAATAGTCATTGTTATAAATTGTTTTCGTTAAGTTTTTATTGACAGAAGAATAAAATCTTTCAGTTATAAACTGCAATTAAATGAGTTTTTGTGACATTTATTAATGTCTTAATAGACGATAATTAGATAATGAAGCCCGAATTTCTACCCTTGTTTGAAATCTAAATATAATTAACCAAAAAAATATAATGAAAATCAATCCTTATACTTCTTTTAGCTTCAACAAACTACTAAAATCTCACGAAAGATTTCATACGTGTCTTCTATTTGTGGGTTTTGTGAGTTTTTGTTGTGTTATGTGATTATTATGAGATTTTTTAGTTTGTTTAGCTTGAATCCATCTCTTATGTTTGCCCCACTCATTTTTAAGGTAGACTATTTCAGCGTTTATTTAGTTTTTGTCGGTTATGTAAATTAAATTTAAGAAAATATGATAGCATACACCCTAAGGTCAAACGTGTAGTGAAGATGATGTATTTATGACAAGTTAGTAGAAAATTTCTAACTATGCCAATGACTTGAACACTAAAGAAAATAGAGTAGGAAAGAAACTCGAACATTGAATACCATTTTACATAGTCCCCGGCCGAGACGAACGTATCAAGATCTAGAATTCAATAAAAATTAAACAAATTTCTCCCTCCCAATCAATTTAGCTGAAGCCGTTGATCAAACATCTAACCTGACAATTAATAGGTGGAAGGAACAAAATGGGATGTGAATAAAAAAAAAATTCCTTAATTTTCCTGAGGAAGAAGAATAGCCACGCCAGAAAATAAAATATATAAATATATAAAAGGTAACAAAAGCAGAAGAAGCAAAGGCAGAAAATGGTTTGAAATTGGGGAATTTGGAAGGGGCCGCGCGAACGCAGGCCCCCACTGCCACAAATTATGACATAGGCTCCGCCACTATGGGCAGACCTTAGGCGGGCAC